TGCCTCCGAACGTAAACTTCAACTGAATATAATACATAATGTTAATTAGTTTTGTCTTCGTTCAATGTCATTGTTAGGACGACCAGCCTAGAAAAACTTCAGTAAATAGTTCTAGGCTGATCAGTAAAGAACTAAGTATTATACATCGTTGTACGCTGATAATGTTCATAATTTAAAAAAATACAGGACAGTTTTAATCATAGATAGTAAATTTCGAAATAGAAAATAGAAATTCAATTAACAGTGTACCTTCGAGAAAGCTCTGACAAGCGCGGTCGCTCGCTACTTCTTACCCCATTGTAGCCTTCGCGGCCGCTCGACGCATTCCTCCGGAGACTCAAGCCATTTGCCTTTTGATGGGACCAATTAACTGATATGTCTTATCAGCAAAATTTTCACAAGTTACCACGCGCAATCAATATACGCAGCTTTCGTGAGTTATTGTAAATTTATTGTTGAAAGTGTTATTTCACTCACGACATTGCACGCGCACGTTCCGCATGTTCATGGGCGTGGATCGTCGTACGTTGCACGGCCATGACCGGTGATTCAAGCAGTGTTTGTCCCGACGGTCTCCATAAAGTGTTATGGAGTACGGATTGCTGGACGCAACAATTTGATTGTGTGTAGATGTCTCGGTAGAAGTACGATTGCGCAAGTAAAAATTTGAGATGCTATATGACCTATGATATCAAAATAAATAACGGGCTGCTTTCCTAAATTCGTTTAATCGACTTTCGTCAACGAAAAGAATATATACATCAATCAATTGAGACCAATCGTGCCAAAAAAATGTCTATCATCTACGAGTTTGTCTTTCTTTTTATATCTTTATTACTGTGTGTTTTGGACCCCTATCACTTCGGAGCGTTTGGCTAATGGAGATATATTTAGGGTATTTGAATACATGAGCTTTCTCATTTTTCCAGTACTAACGCTCACAGAGAGTAAGTTAAGGCCCCCATTAGATGCTCCCTGTCGATATTTTAGGACAAGGCATGAAGTCGTGTCATTCAGATAACTCAGCTCAGTATAAATTAGCTCATAGAATTTCAGTGGCGAAGTGCACAGTATCTGACCTCCGCGGATGTAGATTTATAGAACATTACAAAAGTTATGTAGTTTTATCTGGTCTGGGTCATGTAGGTGGAGATACGGACATAGGGACTACCGTGTATGAGCAACCTTGAGGACCATCTGGCAAATATTCGAACATTGTCTTTTGTCCCATTGAACTGCAATGTTCTGTTCTTTTATCCGTCAAATCCCTGCAAGACAACGGACGAAAATAAAGCAAACTTCAGCATCTTCGGAAATTATTCGGGTTACATATTGTGTAATAAAATGCTCCATGTATCAAGACGTATTTAATTTTACATACGCAACTTACGTTGCTAGAACTACGGACCACGACATATAAAATACGGCCGAACGACAACCGAATACGTAAACAGGATAAGTGAAAATTTAAATTTTCACTACTGCTCCATGACCCATTTCACCATATTCCTAATTTTGGCTAAAAGTTTTAAGATAATACCAGCACTGTAACAATATAAACACACAATTTTAAAACAGTTTGAAACAGTCATTGAATATATGCTTCAAAACATTTACAAAAGTCAGTTGTTGTAATTGACTGTGAAGTACCCAACTTGTACGACTTCACGATAAATATCGTTAAAATGATTCGAATGCTCACGTACGTTCATTACGAGATAAGCCTAGAAAAATAATGCCTAAAAGTGTGAATCAGTACGCCCTGATAGGTGACTTTCAGATATATTGAGAATTTTGTTTATGCAGGCGAAAATGAAGCAAGTTTCAATATATTATTCAGTTATTGATGGCTAAGGGAAGATCTAGGAGGTGACAACATATTGCTTTTGGCGTTTACTGTGTTGACAACGTACCCCTCAATGGGCAACTGAATCACAGATTGTGTCGACAAATATTCGTTGTCCAATTGTCTATTTGTCCGACCTAGTTTTTTTTCTAACCAAAATCTTTAAAATCGATTTTTGCTATAGTATTAAATACTTTTCAACGTAATGGCTTGCAGAGCAGTAGTTTGTATATCGCACCGAAGAACAAGCGACACAAGAAAGGAAGTCCCGATGCTGGTGGGACAGATAAGTTATTTGTAGCTCGTACGAAGTCGACAAGCTAAAATTGTGTCATACATTTTCCGTGTTCGTTCCGCTCTATTGAAATTTGGCCTCTTTAGGACGCGATAAGCTTCCTCTTTTAATGACTGTACATAGCATAGGTTCTGCTGATTCATATGGATCTCATATGCGATTACTTAGCTCCCTGATCGATATCGAGCAGCCTACTTGCTGACGTAACAGTTTTCAATACTGCACAGGCCTATCCATAACAAACTGTTTCTAGAGGAAATATCTTAAGTCAATGCTTTCAGTATGATTTGCAGCCAGGCTCCATTTTTATATTTATTATACTGTCTACCCAGCTATTCTGTAGCCCGTTATATAGTAATGCTTTGTTGAATTATCATCGTCTACAGTTTACTGCTGTGAGGAGATCTGTGCGTATCCATTCACAGCGGCTGACGAAAGGCCTAAAAAGGTATCTATGCGTAACTATAGAAATAGCCTTCCCAGAGTGATTTCACGACACGCTCGTTCTTAAAACGAAAGGAAAATCCGATTCACTACCTGCTGGTTTGGTTTCGGTTTATGACCAACTGGACAATCTTTATCTAGACATGCCATAAGACCTTACTGCTTGATCCACTGTAATCCACCTGCCAATGAGGTTTAATAAACTAGCCTTATCATAAGTTGGTAGTCTGATGTTTATCCTGCTTATTTATCAGCTTGATGCTTTTTTTTTTCTTCGGTTAATGAGACAATGGAGTATAGGACACCGAGAAAGTTTAACAATGCGCTTCGAGCCTCGTTGCGTATGTCGTTATCAAGTCGCTCGTCCTTTCCATAAATCAAGCACTGATCAGTCACTACGTTTTTTCTTTCATGAAAATAAATCGAACTTCAGTACCAATAGAATAGGTCTTGTATACAGATACATAGATGACTGTGTAATAGATCGCTTGAGAAAATTGACTGAGACTAAATTTAACAGCAGCTCTGCCAATACAAATGATAACATCTCGAGGAGTGCATTTGCGATACGAAATTCATTGTGCTGCAATTCGAGATTGGGTCAAATAGACAATCTGTGAACAAGGCCTATTCAAGCGGATTGTCTAAGTTTGACAAGGTCCTTGAAGTTTTCATACTTCTGCTCAGATTTTCCTCGTTAAAATCGGCAACGATTAGCGGTCGCTCTGAACCGGATTGTTTACAACTCGAGAGTTAGCACCACTCGTTGATCCCTCGGCGTAATCGCGGTGTAAATTTTCAGAAATTTTAGTATCTTGAGAATTTAAATACTTGCTTGACCTAAATTCATAAAATATTAGGCGGTTATTTTTTCAGCATGCATACAGGTAATTAGATTTTATGTATCGAGCCGCCCGAAGTTTCCTGTGCCTACTGATAGGACAGGAATTTGACAATGATCAATTGTCGAACAGGACTAGAATGATGCAAATAGTTTTCGAGTACTACTTTCCGGAAGATCTGTTTTTAGTATATCATGTGCGACATGCGATAACATGTGTTACATTGGGATTGTCCATCGTACATTATATACATGATGGCTGAGCGCGTTCTATTACATGTTTTCAGTTAATCTAGCTTTTTAGCATGTTTTTTTCCCCTAAAGGGAAGGAACCTTAGTCTATTTTATGAATCCAAGTACGTCCTTATAGTCTGCATTGAGTAGATTGAATGTCGAGAACTCAGGCGATCTCTAGCGTGACACATGTCAACGGATTTCCAAACATGCAGAGAATCAATAGCTCAACTAATGTTTTAGAAAACATGGAGCGTCGCAGGAGAAAAGTATCAGATAACTGTTCTGAGAGCTGCTTCCCGCTTATAAAGGATCAACATTTACTACAAGACGTCAGAGAGCAGAAATGCGCATAAACTATGTGGTCATTTGCAGAAGGCTACCGCGCGGGATCGTCCGTCCCGTACACTTACTACGTTCATTGGAGGCTTAAGCCGAAGGCTAACTGTTGCCTTGCTACCTGCGCACTCGTATGAATCACGAACAATTGTAAATGAAACACATACATGAAAGGTATTCAAATACTTCATATGGCCACTATTCAGCCCTGCGCTTCAGGCCGGGACGACACAAATCGACATGTCCGTGCTAAGAAGCTTTTTTTGGATTTGTTCTCTGATAGGGAATGCACTATAAGTTCGCTAAATCTATGTGCATTTTTATATTTGTCGTATTGGCCTTGTAACGAAATTCGAACGGCAGAACTCCTGATATTTTACGCAGGAGTATCTCAACGACCTTCTGACGACGCGTCTAATATCCTCCTAAAATGTGATATTTTTACATATACTTCAGGCTAATTTGAGATGTTATCCCAATTGATTGATTTGACCGCGTTCGGCTGGGGGTAAGTATCATTTATAGCGATTGAAATAACGAAGAGATCTGTCGAAGGAGAAGTTATAAGACTACGTTCAAGTTGCTTTCAGACAAGCTGTACCAGGCTCCTCGGTTCTTGATCTCTACGTTATAGAAAGTACAACGCAGAAAGTGTGCAATAAACAACACCAGTGTATTAAAAATTATTAATGATTTAATTTGCTTCTGTCCAAAAGGTCTTAAGTTGACGATAGTCATGGTTGCTATTGTCACGCTACTCCCACATGTGCATCTATCATATACGTTTCCAGTCATCGCCTGACAGGATTTGCAAGGCTTCTTCTGCAGGCCTGTCGAGGCAAGTCCTTCGTCAACATTTCCCTCTCTGATTATGTCGCCCCTCTCCACCGAGGCCGCTTTCCACACTTCGTCTACTCTTTCCCCGAAGAAAAAGGTCTGCGAATAGAATTGGAAAACGCGCGGCATGACTCTCACAAACCGCAGAAGGCGCTGTTGCACGTTGGCTACTTTGTGATGCCAACGCATCACAATTAAAGTCATCGCTTTCTGTACATACTCTGTCCGACTACTTCGTAGCGAAATACATCGGGTCATCGAGGTCCAGCATTTGGAGAGCGCGAAAAAAGCGATCGATTGTTTTTAGTGTCGAACGGCGTGAACATCTGTTTTGTGACATGATCGACTATAGCTAATTAAATGAGTGTGTGAAACACACGGCAACATGACAATTGGTTTCCTCATTATTGTAATGTAAATGTAAACAAAGTGACTTGATTGAGTGAAGTGATTACTGTTTATGTTGTTTGCGTTTTTGTTGCTGTTGCTAAACAAAGTGAGCGCGAGAGCTAGGAGAGAGGAAGAGACGGCCCAGAACAGCCAGTATCCGCGAAAGAGAAGTGTTTAAATTTCCTTGTGTAAAGTTGATACATTATTTAGCGTAGCGGCAGTGTGCTCCCGCAAGGATACCTATTCGACTGCCCATCGTCAAGGTGGATTATTGTTGCTAGCTTCTGACTCAGATGTGAGGATGTCACTCTTATTGGCGTTAGCTTGTACCCTTAGTGCTACAACTTCTTTCAGATGTGACCTTCACGCACTCTACGAGGATACCCAGTTAACACGGTGACTCTCGCAGTGTTTGACGCCTCAAGGTCTTCGAGGTAGCGATGCCGCTAGTTCATCTTCGGCAGCAGCATCTGCTGATCTGTGGCGTCCTTTTGACAGGCTGTCAGCTTTTCGCTTCAGGGCGTCTTCTTTCACCGTCCGTCTTTGACGATGACCATCTTGATGACACAGAGGATGGTAGGTGTATTTACACAACGCAAAATAGGTAAACTCCATCTTAGACTACTACTTGCTAAACGTTTAATTGATTTCTGGGTATGGCTAAATCCTACCTTGTGCCCTGCAAGTAATCTTATATTTTCTATACTAGTTGTAGGCGCAATTTACGAAATACGTTGCTGTTTTCCTTTCCAGTGTTACCTAGATACGAATCAATTAAAGTTACAAAAGTTGGATCAGATATACAGTCTCTTGTAAACCTTATAAATTTCATGCCACCCAAAGGTAACTTCTTATTAGTGGCACTTCAAAATACGCCTACCAAAAAATCACGTTATTAACCATTAAAAAACGAGTAGTTATAGCCTCCTTCATGGCGCGATCACGATAAACCGATCACCCTGTGTAAAGTAACATTATAGTACTACGGAAAGCAACTGAGATTAGATCTGTCATTATAGAATACACGAACTAATACAAATAAAAATACATCGGCTCGTTGCTCTACTATCTGGCGCTTACCGCTGTAGAACCCAGCGTGGTTCCGTTACAGTCAAAGGTCTTCATATATATATATATATATGAGAGAAGTCGAGTTATTCAGCTGTATATTTCAACATACGTGTAACAAGCTTCCTTCCATCATTATCATATCGTTGCAAAAACATTAAATATTACATATGGAAATGATTCATTCTCAGCATAAACGCGTTTCCCATTCGTCATATTGGCTACATCTATAATAACAGCAGTCTTGTCACGGCCACTTCACCACACAATCGATCACCATTTGAGCAAATATTATTACCCAAGGGCTTCCAAGTATGCTTGAACGATGCAAATCTGCCAGATGCAAATAGAACACCTTCGAATAAAGCTAAAATACGAAAAACATTCATTTACCATAGACTATTTAGGAACTTCTGGGCGGACAAGCACCTTCGAGTGATATTTCTATTGCATTCCGCTCCGGCTCCCAAAAAGACGGATACTGTTTAGATACGATTTTATGTAAAATGCCCAAAAAATAAAAAGTATTGTCAAAAAAGATAGTGCTGCCGTCTTCCAATTCAGAAATGATAACTTTTGCTGGTTTTAATGCTACTCTAAACTGGTGATTCTCCTCAGCTGTACTAATACATAGCATGGCAAGTAGAACAATAGCATGATACTACGCAATACTTTTTCTCAGATAGATAGCTCATTCGACGAAATGCCCACAAAAGCCTGTAAACTAGGCGAAGCCCATCTCTTGAGCAGGGCTTCAAAGCATCCACTTTCCGCACGTGCTATATCATTCAGCTATACGAATACCTCCGTCAGCTTATGTTTAGTACGCCAAAGAGCAGGAGCAAGAGCTCGCAAGACAGAGAAGTGTTTTTTACAATGTTTAAATATGGCAATCATTCGTGAAGATTTACTAACGGTGCCCGTCCCCAAAACCCAGCTCTATCTGCAAACGAAATAGTAAAACTATCACTTGACGCGGAAGATACTAATTGAAGTCAATTTTGGCTTTAATTCGAATTCTGCCCCAGTGTAATAAGATGGCAGTAGTTGGAACTTTTCAAGGTGGAACAATTATAATTGAGTATATTTCATATCTATCAAATATGGAGGAGTCATTGGCGGCGGTTCTCTCACGATGAACTTTTTAGCTGTTCATGCGTTTGTTAAACCCTCGATGCAACCGGTTTATACATTTCTAAGAAAATCTAATTAATTTTTCAAATAATTGATATCAGCTAGAGCATTCACTAATGTGATCCATACGTTAGCGTACAGAATATACTGCCTTGGCCCGACGCCGATTTCACAATGATAAACCGGGTTTTTCAACAACCTGCAACATAAACGTGTTCTTCTTGTAACAACGTCTCTCCTTGTGGCTACGGGCTTTATACAGCCTCCTATTTTTCTGTCCTATTTTACGGCATACACGGGTGATAGAGCTGACAATGCAGACAGCACAGGTGTGGAAATGAGCCAGTGCAACCTGAAGTTAATTATGAGGCCGAGTCTAGAACGGATATAGGCAGCATTGTTGCTTGTACCTTTGGATCAACAGTAGCTAGTTGGGCCTTCCTTATTAAGTAGCCACCATTCGTCGGCTCATTAGCTCCTGGGCCGCTCCGTTCCGTTATACTAGACGCCAGCTAAAGGGAATTGGAGCTTTATGTCACACACGAATGGGCCAGAGGCCAAATAGATACGGCCTCGTCTACCTTATACTATCTCCAGTCTAGGGCCAAACGCCAGTTAACGATCGGGTTGTGAAGATTTAAAGTTAATTTAACTCAATGTCTGGCTGTTCGGACCTGAAACGCCCAAAATGACTTGTCTTTTCGTTGTTGTTCTCATTTTACACGGCCTTTGGACAACGTGCATTTACTTCGTGCGCATGGAGATTCACAGCTGTGCAACAACACGAGATATGCATACTAACAAGTAGCGTTTGCACGTATGTGCCGTTTGTACCTACAACGAAATGAGACATTTGTTTAACACTAAACTAAGCGTTTCTGTATGTATAGTAGCCCTATGTGCGTGCTATGTGCTATGAACTTGTCCGGCAAAGGGAATACGCACAGTATATATATGAATAAGTGAGCACGAGGCTGAAACCCCCCGGTCTACGTTGCTTGTCACGGGACATACTTGTACGCTTGTATTATAGACACACAGAGACAGTCTATTCTTGTAGCAGGCGTTCCCACAAACAACCGCTCACCGCCGACCACACACAGCCTTGTCGACATCCAATGTAGTATAAACGGTAGAATTTTGCTCGCCTTATTTTACTCTTCTGTTTCGGTGCATAAATGCACCGCCCACGATTATAATGCAAGCCTGACGAAACGCCCACAAGTACGTCATGTTTACTATGAGGTCATAGAAGATTACCTCGGCGTCTGTAGAAATAAATAACATTATTGATGTCGTTTACTATGCTTCTTTTTAGCGCTTTTCTCCCCAGTCTTGCATTGCCGCCATCTACCGTTCTTCCAGTCCCGTCTAAGGTAACAGCTCTGCCACACTTCGTAGCCGCGCTTGTGCCTTTTACGTTCTACCCTCCGTTTCACCTCTTCCAGTCTAAATGGACTCACTTTGCAGTCGTACAACAAGGAAGGACTGTGAAGCTGGTCGCGATGGGGAAGAAGGTTGAACAACGGTGAACATTGTGCGCGAGCGTCATTGACATAGACGAAACAGGTGAAGTAGCAATCTTGGACAAATCCTAGCAATAGAAGATCGTTACTTGCTGCCACCAGTGCCATAGCTACTATTGCCTCTAAGCCATGCGACGATAATCTTCATCTTAAAAGAACATACTTTAGTGTAGCTAGGAGAAATGGAAGGAGGGCAAAAAGAAAAAGGAAAATTGCTCAAAGTACTATTACGACTGTTTTCCTATTTTTTTTTAGCATTGGTCTTTTCACCGGGTTCATTAATGTGCGGCTGCAGAGTCTATTGCAGGTGCCACAGCTCTGTCCCAGACTGTGAGCATGAGGCAGTTAAAGGTTACAAGAAAGACTAACGTGTTGTTAGTCAGAAATACTTAATCGGATGGTCCGATTCTCCTCCGATGCACAGAGGATTGCAGACAATCAGAGCAGAAATAGTAATCGCTTGACGTTGTAGTCGACACAACGATAGGCCAGTAGCCGTTCGGGGTAAGTTGTAAGAAAGGTCATTGACTGTTCCTGCAGCACTAACGATGGGTGATTCGCCTTTATCATAGGTCATATGTCTATTATATTAGTAAAAGATGCCTCAGCATCTCGAAATCTTTGTAGGATGCACACTACCCTACGAGACCGTAATCTAAGGGGTGATTCGCTAATAAGAAGCTCAACAACCAAAAACACGTTCTTGGTTTTTCCAGTCGTAATGCTTTTACATCATTCGCATGAGGCACTAACTATTTTGCTCATGTAACATACTTTGACACATGTTAGAAATAAGGGAAAGTAAAAAGGGAGGACCGATGTACCTTCTGGCCAGCAAAGATACTCTGGAAACCTTTATCGTTGTCGAGTAAAATCGATCCTTATTATTGTATCGCAAAGCATAGGTTGAATCCATAAATTACTCAATGAAAGTCTCATCTGAAACGACTCTGCGCAATGAATGACTGTGGATCGTACGTCAATGCAAGAGCGCTACAGAGTATCAGTACGCTCGACTGGACTAAGCCGAACTAGGCTGAATTAAGCTGGCTGACGTTATAGCCATTGGCCACCCTTGAAAAGTGAAAGTAAGAGGAGCCGCCGCAAGCGTATGATCTCTTATTACGCTTTGGTTGCCAGGTCAAGATGGTATTCCAGGGGGTGCGACAACAGTACGGACTCTGCTCGTACCTTTAGTCTTGTAGCGAAATAAAGAACGTAAGACGCGAAGCGAAAGGCAGAGAACGCGTGACGAAGAAGTTGCACGAAAGGAAATTCTTACAGGGCAGTCAGCGTCTATAAGCTCAGGCGTATCTCGATGGAATTAATTGGATCTCCTTGTCACAGGCGTAGCCATTGAAGACATATCAAGAGCATATCCAACTTGGTACATGAGCAATACCAGAATAGTTACTTCAAATCTCAACTCGTTTATTTATCTAAAAAACATACATTTTATTTTGTTGTAAAGCACAAGGAAACACAAGGGGTATACCTTCGGCGTTTCCCGGACTTAGCTAGAAAAATAACAGAGTCAGATAGTAGTTCTTAGCCTCAACTTAGATTTACATTGTGACATTCTAATTAGTAATCGATGTTTGTTCAATGCTATGAGAGTTGCCTTTTTTGCGTCCATTCAGGCCAACACCTATACAAGTGGCTAAACCTCGCGTTCCGTTATTCTTGAGGCCTTTACTACTTGTTAGATCAGTAGCCCATCCTCATACCTGTAATCGGCTGGCTGGTAATAGGTAATAGTATGCATTTTTAGTAATTTAATAATAGTATTCAACTATTGTTAAAGTAGGTAATTAGTTGTATTTTTAAGAAATCTTTTACCATATTCGA